GTCTTGTAGTACTTGGCAATTGTTGCACTGCCCATGGAGAAAAAAAATATTTCTTTCAGTATAATACCATGTCATGCCTAGTAGTAGGTGAGACAAACAGTCCAAAAACTGTACTGGTCAAACTAGAGAACCATCTTGAATTATTCACTTGAAGTGATTTGGGGAAATGAGGGACAGGCTCTGAAATCATATTATTCTTGAAGTTACAAGAGTCAGACATAGATGTTTTTTTTTAAGAGCCATTCAAACATAGTCCTCAAATTCCTAGGTGTCAGAAGATATTAGCAAGTGTCCATTTATTGTGAGTTTGTTTGTTTTTCTCTTGAAATACATGATTATTCTCAACAATATTACAGTCAACTTTTGTCCTTTCCTATATTATATAAATACTGCTACATGGCTGAAGCTTTAAGAACAGAGATCTAAACTTCAATCTGAGCATCTGCTAATTTCACACTCTAAGAAGTGTATCAAATTGAAGCTACATATGGACACAATTATTTTCTGGTCTGTAATCTAGCAGTAATAATAACACTAAATATAAAGCATTATACATATAATATCTCCAGCTTTAACTTCTCAACCAATTGCTAATACCTATATCTAAGCCATTTGATTGGCATCAGGACATCTGCAATGTTATATTGCTACTAATGTTAGTCCAGGTCTATGCCTCGATGAAGTATAAGGCAACTTATAACTATATGTATATATTATATGCATGTAGAGATTTGGCTAAAATGGAAAGCAACATACATAAGCTACTGACTATTTACACCTAGTAAGACTGAATGCCATTTCAATCTATTTAGGCCCCAGGCATTGGCCGAGGTAGGCTATTCAACACATGCTAGTACTGTGAATTCATTGCCAGCTACTGTTATATATGACTTGAAAATGGAGTTGGTTTGATTTTCCTTGAAGTATTTGTTTATTTTAGGATGAACCAATCAGTGACAGTTTGAACTCTTTTAATTATGTTTGCCACTAATTATTTGGTACACATCTCTGAGTGTGGAATTAACATGTGTCCAGCACTAACTGCTACTAAAAACTATATCGGGCACAAAAATTTAGAAGGATGTGTGTTATTGGCACAAAGTATATCTCGGCAATCACTTCATACTAGATAAAACCACACTGTTGTTTCTGGCTGGTTTAAAGGGGAGTATACTCTCAATGTAAATAAAAAATTACCATTTTTGTACCATGAATTTATGATTTGTGGCCAAAAACTATTGCAAATGTAGGTTTATGTTGTCTCTGTATAATAGTAACTTGTAGATCATGTGACCAGAATTCAAATCTGCACTGGATATACACAGAAGATTAATGCAATTTACAGGCCGGATCATATCACATCAGCTGATGATACTTTTCATAGATACACTTTGAACAACTAATAGATATTAATATCATTATTATCAATTTTATTCAAATTAAAATGGAAAAATCTCGGATATGTAAAATTGTTTACTTTTAAGTTAAATATGACAGTACTCCAATGGAAAAACAAAAAACAATTACACCAATCGAAGAAATAACACAAAAGACTTGAGTAATTTTGAGGGGTAGCTCGCCCCCCTTTTTTTATCATCACTAAAAATTGGAAACATTTGGAGCCATGGAAAAAAAAAGGGCCAAAATTGGGAAGGAAATGGAGAAGAGAGAGGATATGGAAAAGTAGGGAAGAGAAACTGTAATATTTAATACTGGTTTTTTTTTACTGAAGCCAGGCCACTACAGCACTGTTTGTAACCAGCCAGACACATGAAAAATTAGTGAAACATTTCTGGAGCCTTGATAGAAGTTACTGGAAAAATCTTTCAGTTTTTTAAAGAATATTTAACCCTAAAAACTATTCAAATTTACATGAACTATTAAATAAGCTTGCAGCCAAAATGAGTCACTTGATACACATATTTTCAAATTTCAAATAATTTGTAGCCTAACATACATCATCACTGTTGACAATATGACTGTTTCATAATCATAAATACCGGAAAGTAACAGTCATCAACTATAACTTAACTTGTAAGCAGTGTTCCCTCTAAGCTGCACAACAACCAATCAAGTGTTGCACACATCCTCAGTAATGATGAGGAGTCTCAACACGTTGACGGCCTTAATGACCCTAGCAGTCGATAGACCTAAAGCCCAAATAACCAACTGGTACAATTGCAAAGCGGCCTAATGTTCCAATAGGGTCAATGGTCTAAAAATACCCCCTGCCCTTAAAAAAAAACTGGTAGTGCACATCACCTTGATACTGGTGCACATGAAAAAATTCATTCCACACATGGATTAAAAATATTAGCGGGAACATTGTTTGTGAGCGCATCCTACCCACAAGAGAAAATTACACATCAGAATTTAAAAAAAAAACTTAAAATACCAGACATTCTTTCTTAGCCTCAATCGCAATGGTTTGATGTAACTGCCTACATTTCAGTTTTGGGAGGTCATAGGCTAGTGATCTAAATGCATAATGAAATCACTTTTCACGTTCTTTTCAACTGTACAAGCCAATATGGTTTCCAGTTCAAAGCTCTGTTTGGTGATATTTTGCTAGTAAAAAGGATTTTTATAACTAAGTCATGCAACAACTACAGTCTTGATTTATTTAAAGCTTGCTTTATCATTTAATCCTGCACTTGACTTGTAATGATGCAAAATATTTTTCACTTGAGAAGATGAATTAGGCTTAGAATATTTTGCATTCAACCACATCAAGTTTTGTTTTGCCAAGAAAGCCACCATATAAATCAATATAAAAATAGTTTAAAACTCAGAGAGGGCAAATTTATATTGTCCAACACTCAGGACAATAAGATCTGTATCATGGACAATATGCTTTATTGCTATATTTTACCTATACGGACAAGTATTTTTTCCATAACTATTTTTTATTAAAGGTCTGAAATTATTAAATCATTGCTATTATGAGACTAATACATTAGTGTTTGACATAAAATATATACTGTGAAAGCATAAATATGTAAAATCAGTACTTTCTATCTTGTAAAGAATGAATTTAACACCAGAGGTCATGCTAGTCTTTAAAAAATAGCACTTAACACATGCTTTCTAAAAATCTACATTTTTAACCCAACCCTAACACCTACTGTTTTTCACATATTGTATTAAAATAAATTATTCCTTATTTTAATTTGTTTCAAATTAACTAATTTAACAGGTAAACAGTAATGTTAACGACTACTGGGACCTTAAATGTTCTCTCTACATATACATGTTAATGACTACTGGAACCTTAAATGTCCTCTATATATATGCATGCTAACGACTATTGGAACCTTAAATGTCCTCTATATATATGCATGCTAAAGACTATTGGAACCTTAAATGTCCTCTATATATGCATGTTAACAACTACTAGAACCTTAAATGTCCTCTATATATATATATGCATGTTAACGACTACTGGAACCTTAAATGTCTTCTATATATGCATGTTAACGACAATTGGAACCTTAAA